TTATTGTGTGGGTCTATGTTGTTATTCTAAAAACTTCACAACTTTCAACGAATCTTTTGCATTGTACTAGGTTCTGTATTTCAATGTCCATACTAGGCGCTTCCGATATAACACTTTCCTTTCATTAATTACCTGATAATTGCAACCCAATTAGTGCAATATCGCTGAAAATGGCTACAAAAATGTGGAAAATCCGCTTGTTAACATGCACTACACATCGCATAAGGAAGGAGAAAACATAATTTGCAATGTCTAGTTCATTGCATTCTACAATTATCCCAGGAAGTAGTATGACTAGGTCTTTTGCATAGTCTTATTGGAAAAGGAACCCTTTTAACAAATCTGCGTGTTGTCAGAACCAAAAATTGTATCAAGATCTCAAAAAATTGTTTTTTTTTTTCGCTCCGGGCAATGTTTTTCTCGGTTTTTGGGTCATTATGACGGTAATTTTGCCAGAGTTCTTAAATATTCTTCGAACATCCATTAACAAGATCCCAAAGCATTTTAAGGGGTATTCTTATTGTAAACCTTTGTTTCTCCGGAACAAAAAACAATTTTTGCAATTTAATAAAAAAAAATTGTAGTGCGAATATAAACATCGCCTCTTTAGTTGCATCGGTTAAAAAGTGTGTAGGTGCGACAAATATTATAGTAACAACATTACGTGTACAGTGTTTGCCATCTTAAATTGACCTTCATAATGTTTATAATGTGGCTCACACGATTATAAGATGGAAAAATTCACACTTAATGTAATATATTTTGGCAATTATATGTTTAAAGAAACCCTACTACAACTCTGGATATAAAAACACGCCTTTGCTTTTTGCTCCTTTATCCTTTGGATTCGAGCATAGAGCGTGAATCTGGCAAAGCAAATAAAGATATATAACGTTTTATATAAACCTGAGTGGAATGGAATGAAAGAGGAGTTACATCGTCACGGAAAGAACGTGCATTCAGGTGCACGACCAAATGCTTTAGTCCTATATTACGCTTTTTCATCCTTGAATTGAGATTCTATAGGCCAGTAAAACAATCTACCATCCGCCATTTCATGTTCATATGTCAATAAATTTAAGAAGTTTTAGTCTTCAAAGAAGCCACGCAAAATTAACCAGACAAACAAATTTTTGTTCAAATTAAATTTTAAATAACTTTTTAACCTTTGCATCAATTTCGTTATTTTTTCCGTCAAGTTGTAGGTAATTTCATTCTCATCATTATCGACTGTCGAACAAAAAAATTGAAAATGTTTGTTGTTATACAGGGTGTAACTAAAAGGTGCATTTGGCCCTGAACTTCTGAACACCCTTTGGAAACATTGGATTACTGAATGATGTGTCTTCGTACGAGAATTTTAAGCCTCAACTTTTCTCAACAGTTCTTCTTTTTATCCATGTCAATATCACAATTATTGAAGAATATATTTTGTTTTGAAAAGAATCATGCGAATCATAGCCATAAACAAGAAATTGTTTCAGGCAGGCTTTGCCGGGTAAAAAATTGTTTCAAGTAGGCTGTGTCTATTAGCACTTTCATGGCATGTCAAAAAAATTCTTATCAAGCAATACTCGACAAAAATGTTAGCGGAACAAGTAGCGCAAGCTGTAGCTTTACCAGATGATGGTCGTCCTATGCGACACAAAGACTTAGAGAAACTAGTTCTTACTGAAGAACACCTGGGCAAGGACGACGGAAAGCAAAAAACGCAGTTAAAGATCGGTTTCTGAGACTTCAAGCTCTCCGAGAAAGGACAGCTTTGACTCCAAGGTTGGATGATGTTCATGGTGCCATAGTTTCACCTGATACCGTACGCTGAAGGTTGAGAGAAGGAAACCTCATCCTGTGTACCTCTATTAGATGTAGGTCATCGAAGGCAGCGCTTGGTATTTTCTCGAACTCATGCAGATTGGGATATGGAAGATTGGAAAAACGTTCTTTTTACAGACGAGATATTCACCTGATGGCCGCCAATGAGTAAGGAGAAGGCGTGGAGAACGCTATGCTCAAAGTTGTTTTGCGCCTAGAGTGCAATTTGGTGGTGGAGGAGTGATGATATGGGGCGGTCCAATATAGCCAGAATGACTAGGCAATACCTCAATGATGTTGGAATTCAAGTACTAGCCCGGATCTCAACCCCGCTAAGCACATGTGGGATACATTAGGAAGAAGGCTTAGGCAGAACTATAAAGAATTTCAAACATGCGCTGGTAAACGAGTGGGAGGAAATACCCCAAGACATATAATAGCTGATTTAATTAAGTCTACGCCAGAGAGGATGAGAGCCAGAGAGATGAGAGCTGTTATTCAAGCCGGGGGAGGAAATACTCGTTTTTTATCACAATTTCTAATTACCAATGATGTCACTGTAATTTTTTAAGTTAAATTGTTTATGTTTATGATTCACTTAGTTTTCTTGTTGTCATGTTGTCACTGTAATTTTTTAAATTAGATTGTTTATGGCTATGATTCGCATTATTCTCTTCAAAACAGCATATATTCTTCACTAATTGAGGTGTTGACATGAACCAAAAAAAGAACTGTTGAGAAAAGTTGAGGCTTAAAATTCTCATACGAAGGCACATGATTCAGTTATCCAATGTTTCCACAGGGTGCTCAGAAACTTAGGGCAAAATGCACCTTTTAGTTACACCCTGTATAACAACAAACACATTTAATATTTTTGCAAGATCGGCAGTCGATAAGGATGACAATGACAACTTGATGGAAAAATTAACTAAATTGATGCAAATGTTAAAAAGTTATTTCAACTTTAATTTGAACAACGTTTTGTTTGTCCGTTTAATTTTGCTTGGCAGTGTAGTTTAAATAAATCCTTCGGGCTGATATCCTTTTACATCAACATTCAGGTCATATAATTTTTCACTTGACTTCGCAAAAATGATCCGCTCTAATATGATCCTAAAGGTCAAGGTCAAGATCAGATACATAGAAGGCTCGTAAGAATTATGAATCCTTTAGTATCCCAGTTTTTAGACATGAATTTGAATTTTAAAAACTTGCGACCTCTTTCAATGTATCTTCTTTTCAGCTATTCTACTGTACCGGATTTGCCGTTGTTGCCGTCGGATCTACGTGAAACTACTACACACGGTGTTCCATGCTTTGGCGATACCATGCGTGGCTGTTGGATTCCTCGCCGTGCTCGATTCTCACAACTTAAAGCAACCAAATCCGATCCCCAACTTCTACTCCTTGCACAGCTGGATCGGGTTGGTCTGCATGGGACTCTTCGCCATTCAGGTATTTTACCTTTGTTTGTTTGAATGTTTCCCCGCATTATTCAACCGAACTGAAATGTCGAGCTATGCTCAGCTCCGTTTCATACGGATGGTGTAGAGTCCTAAAAATATCAATTTCAAGTCCAATTGGTGCAGTTTTGCACAGGGTGATGGTATGCGAATCGACTGATGTGGATAATCTCATTTCATTTCTTTATTCGTAGAACATGTCAATGATATAGTACAATAGAAAAATGGAAAACATACAAAAAATAATAATAATGTATAAATAAAATACATGTAATTCAAAAACTAAATATAAAAATAAATAAGGAAGGTTAAAATTGAGACATACGACATTACGGTGATGACTGTTATAAACAGCATTGTCAGAATTATACATATTACTCGTTTATCAGGTTAGTAGTATTCATACAAAGAGTGATATGCTTTACTTTTTAATAGTGTCCTAAGTATAAGTTTTAAAATAAATATATAAATAAGAAAGATGGCAATAGGTGAAGGAATACTGCCAGCACTACTACCAGCAAAAACCAAGGATGGAAGAACCACATAGCAGTATTCTTGTTTTATTCTAAAAAAATGGCATCAACTAGATTGACTATACTTCTCAGGCATTCGAAACAACATCTTGTATAATTTTCCATGTAATGAGATGGCATCAAAAAGACGTAGGAACCATCAATGCACTATTTGGGCTTTTCATCAAAAAAAATTCCTCAAATTGCAGCAATGAGCGTGTCCATACATGATAGTCTCATTTCTTTGAAGCTCTGGTGTAAAAATGTTTGATAACTGATTATGATAGCCCTTGATATGACTATACAGGGTGTCACGAAAAAAGTGTGCAATATTCTACCAGCGGTTTCTAGAGCTTAAAATAGGAAGAAAAGTTTATATAAACATAGGTCGACAAACGTCCCCTAAGTCCGCTACGGTCTTTTAAAGGGGCCCCCTGAAGATGATTTTTCCTTAATATTTCCGAAACGTGTTGAGATAAAGACTTATATTTTGGTATTCTGGCCTAGTTTTTTATGCTGGACTCAAAAATATTAACAATTTTAGACAGTTTTGTTTGGAAGCGTATGTAACACGGACGGACTCGGGTTATTTTAGCCCCAACATTTTTGTGTGATTCTATTTTTGAAATTCAATTTAAGAATTTGAAAATTTAGTGTTTTCTACATAAAAAAGGTGCTTTAATTGCATATCGATAAATTGTGCCATTTTTGAATAAAATCAAACAAAAAAATTTGTCATATGATAAGGAATGTACTGCGGATTTAAATGAATTGTTGAATAATTATCCATGGAAACGAAAAAACTGATTTAATAATTGGTAAATATTACATAAATACATATTTCTATTGCAACATAGCTAACATTTAGGCAAAAACAAAAGAAATAAATTTTTTCTACGAACGAAATTGAAATTTGTTTAAAAAAGAAGACATATAGTTGGATATACTTAAAACTAGCTTTACAATAAGTGTTCGAATAAATTCCCATTTTGTTGGATAAAGAGTCTCGCTCGACGAACTAATGATTGCGTAGCCCGAAAATTGGAAAACATTTTTCTTCTTATTTCATTTGCAGCCTGGTGGATTCTTTGAAGTAAATCTTCTCACATCCAATGGTATTATATCCATGAGCTCATTCTGAAGAAAGTTCAGATACACCTATGAATTAAGGCGATTGGGAAGTACAATAGGCCCAATTACTTGATCCCCAATTACTCCTGCCCATAAGTTCAATGAAAATCTATGTTGGAAATATGTACGGCGAACAACTTTTGGATTTTCATCTGACCAGTGATGCATGTTATGGCAATTAAAAGCACCATTCCTAGTAAATATTGACTCATCCGACCATAATATTCTAGGAATAGTGTTTTCATTTGCTAATATCCACTGGGAAAGCTCGATTCGTGGTAAAAAATCTGCCTCCGTTAAATGCTGCACCCGTTTAAAATGATAAGGATGTAATCCTTGCATTCGTGTCATTCTTCCTATCTAAAATTATTATTTTTAGGATAACTATCCAATAGGTATTCATAAATTTTTCTTACTATTGATCGAGGTATATCCATAATTTCTGAAACATTTCGTATGCTTATTTGCAGATTATTTTCAAACATATTTAAAGCAATATCCATACGATGATTTCCCAGTGGCCTTCCTGAGCCTTGCATGCACTTAAAATTTCCATGGTTTGACAAATTCCGGTGAATATCAGTAAACATTCGACGTCCAGGTACTATGCGATTGGGAAATCTTCTTTGATATTCTCTTATGGCTGCCAATGAACTGCCATTGCAAAACCCGTACACAAAATGCATGTCAGTCAGTTCTTTGTCTGTAAATCTTGGCATTTTAAATCGATTTAATAAAAATTTTGATTTCAATCTATTAATTTGTACAGTGCTAACAATGTCAGCTTAACGTCGAAATAAGTCATAACAAATCAAAACAACATTTCCTATCATGTGACAAATTTTTAGTTTGATTTTATGCAAAAATGGCACAATTTATCGATATTCAATAAGAGTACCTTTTTTATGTAGAAAACCCTAAATTTTCGAATTCTAAAATCGAATTTCAAAAATAGAATCACACAAAAATGTTGGGGCTAAAATAACCTGAGTCCGTCCCTGTTACATACGCTTCCAAACAAAACTGCCTAAAATTGTTAATATTTTTAAATCCAGCATAAAAAACTAGGCTAGAATACCAAATTTTGTGTCTTGATCTCAACACGTTTCGGAAATATTAAGGAAAAACCATCTTCAGGGGAGCCCCTTTAAAAGACCGTAGCGCCCTTAGGGGACATTTGTCGACCTATGTTTATATAAACTTTTCTTCCTATTTTAAGCTCTAGAAACCACTGGTACAATATTGCACACTTTTTTCGGGACACCCTGTATACATATACTATCATATATTATATTACCCCAAATCAAGTAACCTCATTAAACTCCAGGCATGACGCTTATATATGTTTATATAGATCATATCGCGCTCACCTCGTATGCGCATGTCGCGTCACCGTGCCGCCTGCTACCTGCTGCTAGAAGTCACTCGGATCAACTACCAAAAATGCAATATTTACGACCCCGTGGCGCGTCTGCTGAAAATATTTTTCAAGTTTCAAAGGCAGATGTGCGGGGAAATCTATGATGTGTGAAATGTCTTGTAGGTGCGTAAAATTACCAAGGTTGGGAGTGTATTGATATACTAACATCAAAAAATTGTGATATAACCTCCCTCAAATCCTCGCCACACCACGATTTTTGACCCCTTCAAAAATGTTTCTGGAAATGATCGGGAGCCTCTGAAATGCCGAAAAAAAAGAGTTCAGGCGATTTTTATTTATCTATTTGTGTCCTTAGCTTCCGCCACTGAAATTACAAAGCTTGTTATAGACGGGCCAAGCATTAACCGACAGACAGGCAGAAGACCAACAGCAAATCAAATCCTGCTCTACCGACATCGCAAGTTAGAGCCGTTTTACACACAAGAGAATTACTCTGAAAACTTTGGTCATAATTATGCCGAAGATGTTTGCTGTCGTATTACACGTAAAAGAATTCATGTGAAAATTTTCATGGTAAAAATATAAAACCCGTTCTATAGTCAACGAAAAACAAAGTGGCGTGCACGTCATCAAGGTGGGTGTGTTGAAAAATTTACATTGTTGCCAAACTTTTTGTAAAATAATAAAATTCATTATTTACATATCTAGGTTTATAAGCAATATTAACCTCAAATGAGAACAAAAATAATAGTATAATAAAATTATAGATCTGTACTTGCATAATCATTAAGTATGACAATTATTGATCAGATGACACTATGAAACTACCATATTTAATTGATAGCTTAAAGGTACTGAATAAAAATCCAAATGGGGTCCTCCAAATTTTATGCATGGTATTTATTTTACAGAATTCATACAGAAAAATGCATTCTAAAATTAGGTAAGCTACTGGTGTAAGCTTTTTCTGTACAATAAAGTTAGTCGGAGTTTCTTTCTTCAGCGCTGTCTGAATCTGAATCTTCATCACTCTCAAAGTTTATTATTAAAGGTTCGATGTCTGGTCGATCAAAAATTCGTTCTCTTTCATACCATTTAAAAATTTCTTGCTCAGTATGTCGAACACTATTTTTCCACATGTCTGGGGTAACCGTTTGTAGAGCCTCGTTCCACATATCCAAACAGTCTTTTTCACTGTTACCATCTCTACCAATATGTCTGTTATAGTAACCTTTTGCTATGCCCCAAATTAACTCAATAGGGTTAAATATACAATGGTAAGGAGGCAGACGAAGAACTTTGTGCCCATGTTGTTCCGCCAATTCATCAATCACGTATATTTTAGGTGGTTTGTTTCTAAAAAAGCAGTTATTTTAAGAATAGGAATAAACAAAAGAAATATAAACTGTCGACCAAAATATATATAATTAAGAAGCATTATGTACCGAGCAACAATACTCAATAGCTCTGTTTTAAACATTGTGTTTAAAAATGGTATGTTTTGATTTGTCAACCAGTCTTGGATATTTTTTTTTGTCCATGCATTGTTGGGCACTTTGTTCAATATCATGCTGTGATAGGGGGCGTTATCCAGTATAATCATAGATGGACTCTCCAATTTTTCTAATAACTGATGTTGAAACCATTTCAAAAAATTGTCCTGGTTCATCTCTCCATGGTAATCGCTCAATTTTGTTTTCGAAGAAAATATCGCTTCACTACCCTCAATAAACCCATTTTCATTTCCAGCATGTAATATAATGTATCTAAAATATATTAGTTTTAAATTTTATAGTGCAAATTGTGTAAAAGTACATACCTTTTAGCATCTGTTTTAATAGCTTTCACGCTTTTTTGGTTTCCATTTTGCCAAGAGCGACCTATGGTCCCATTTTGAAATATCCAAGTTTCATCGAGGAAGACAAACTGGTATAAGGCCTCAACCTTGGCTTGATTGTATTGCCTTAGAAATTCCACCCTTTTCAAAGCTATACTTGGTAGTTCCATGAGCCCTCGTCGCGGATTGTCCTTAAGCCACTTAAATCCAAGATCTCTAAGCAACCGCCTTAAAGACGTGGCACTACCATCAAATAATGCCCTATCTCTTAATCGAGACCATAAAGTTTGTATCGTAACTTGTTCTTCTGAAACCATGTGTAATATGACATTATAATTTAGTTAACAAATTAATGCAAATTTCTGATAAGTTATTATAATAAGATCTTACTTTTGTGATACATATTATAGATCACTTCTCGAATGGCACTTGTATCCAATGTCGCTGTGTTGGTTACACGTTTAATATAACTCCGCTTTTTCTTGGGCGATTCTAAATTTGCATCACTTTTCACACCCTCGGAAATACGACTAACTGTCCTTAAACTAATTTTTAAAGCAGCAGCAACACGCTACAAAAAATGAAATAAAATTTCACTATTATTAATATACATTACATATAATTATTAGTAACCTACCTCTTGAACAGCATTTAAAGGCAACAAAGGCCCGTTGTTGTCCCTTTCTTGCTCAAAGTAGTGCATTAACGAGGCCACGAGTTCCTTACACCGACTATTTAACTGTTTGGGCAACTTTATATGCCAAAATTGCCTTTATCTACTCGTAAAATGAATAATTTTGTTTTGAAACAAACAGTTGTTGATTTACAGTATGCGGGGCCAAAGGATTTATAAAGATTTGAAATGCCACAAATTGATTCAGTGTCAAAATTAATACAAATGTCAGTTCCCAGCTTAAATAAGTTTCAAGGTGACAATGTGTCAACGCTGCGAAATCGGTTTAGTGCGTTTACATGTCGATAAGTGATTGGAGCGTTTGCAAAACATTTTATTTCGCATAATGCGTCTAAATTTATCAGAAAGCAACTTATGTGATATTTTAATAACAATGTTTATATGACTATTAACCATAATAAGAGAGTAATGACCATTTTACAATTTATATATCACATTAATATGAAACTGCAATAGAGCAATTGTTTGTGATAGAAACCTAGGCATTAGGTCGGGGAATTTTTATCGTGATGACGTGCACGCCACTTTGTTTGGCGTTGACTATATAGAATATGCGCGAGAATCGGCGCAGAGGGTTATTTCCGTGCATGTCAATATCAAGTGTCAACGTCAACAACATAACCTCACTTAACATTTGTGGCTGTGGTCCTGTTCGAGTCGTACGAAGAAGCGTTTATTGTTATTGTTTATTCATAATGTCGTGGAATCGGGAAGAAGTTACACTGTTGTTGGAAGAGTACCAAAAATGGCCAAACCTGTACAAGGTGAAGTCACCCAATTACAAAAACAGAAATTTGCGGCGACAGGCGCTAGATGCGATAGTCCAAGCATTGAGAAGTTTTATAATATTAACCAAGATCTCGATTTCAAAAATAAATTTAAATCAGCGACGTATGTTGTTTTTCTGATTATATTGGACGTCATACCCGTTAAGGTTATGTCCATTCGAAAATATTACACTAATGCGCATGCGTATCATATGAATTACTGCGAAATTTTGTTTGCTTGTGTCATACAGGTTGTAGAGAAAATATTCAATATTCTTTCCATGCAAATTTTCGGCATAATTATGATCATAATTTTCGGAATAATTCTCTTGTGTGTAAAACGGCTCTTAGTCAATAATATCTCAGGTTCGCGTGCCACAAGTCATTTCACGTCAGCCAAGATTCTGTTAAAACTGTAAATATTAAAAAATGTTGCGCGTCTCACAATTTGGAATTTATCTTAAAAGGAACTCCGACACCTTTATCCACTTAACTTTTCTCAACTCTAAGTAAATTGATTGGCATTTTCGTCGATTCAATTTTCCTCAATATTCTCTCGGGCACAGCGTGCGCCCGACTCACGATGTGGGTCAGACGGCTTTCCATTTCTAAGAAAAACACCTCAACTACAAGACAGTTCACTGCAGGCAAACAATTTGTTTAACATCTGCACGAGATCTTGTCATGCCTGATAGCTTTCAACACTCCCCAATGGGTTGATATGTTAATTTGACCGCACCCAAACCACCTGTTCGTAAACATGACCTACGCGTATTGTAATAATGGACTGAAGAATTGTCAAACTTTATATTCTACTTCGAACGCCAACCAGCGAGGAAGCATTATAATCGCGGAAAATTTTGAAATTGAAAAAGATAAAGTTACTGCTATGCCGAGGATGAAAAAGTCTTGTAGTTTTTGGAAAGGCGTCGACGGAGAATAACGCCAGAAACGAAAGAAGTAAAAATTGCTTAAACTTCGATTTATTGACGTTTCAGATCATGACACCTGATCATTTTTGAAAAATCTTTGGAGGTAAAAAGCTGGTGAGGGTTTTACGGGGTCGAGGAGGTTATATTCTGATGTTAGTATACTTCCAACCCCGGTAGTTCTGCACACCTATTATACATACTATATTTCACACCGGATGGATCGTCTCTAGGTTGCATTTGGGGTGCGCCAGTATGATAAATATTGCATTTTCGGTACTCGATCCGACCGAAAGCCATGAAAGCAGGTAAGAAGCTGTACGGCGACATACAAGGTGGGGGCAATAATAACTATATATATACAATTAATTGTTAATTGGGAAATTGGCAAACTTTTAGGCTTAAGTTGACTCTTTTGACGATAAAATCAAGCTTTCGGCATTCTCTATGGAGCCTTCATCAGGATCTGAAAACACAATTGTTGTTGTTGTTATTAATAAGCCCAATGTCTCCGTTCGATTGTTTTTATATTTGTAACAAGTTCTCTCATCTCTACGTTCGTTTTGAAACACCATTTGGCTGCAACCTCAACGACGAGTAAGTTGTTTGACAATTTAAGTCGGTCCTGTATTGGTTGCTAGCATCACAATTGTGTTTTCAGATCCTGATGAAGGCTCCACAGAGAATGCCGAAAGCTTGATTTTTTCGTCAAAAGAGTCAACTTAAGAAGAAAAGTTTGCCAATTTCAAAATTAACAATTAATTGTATTTTTTGCCCAACTGGTCGTTGGCAATGGCAATGACTACTGCTCATATATACAAGGTGTCCCGACAAAAGTGTGCAATATTCTACCAGCGGTTTCTAGAGCTTAAAATAGGAAGAAAAGTTTACATAAACATAGGTCGACAAACGTCCCCTAAGGGCGCTACGGTCTTCTGAAGGGGCTCCCCTGAAGATGGTTTTTCCTTAATATTTCCGAAACGTGTTGAGATAAAGACATAAAATTTGGTATCCTAGCCTAGTTTTTTATGCTGGATTTAACAATATTAACTTTAAACAGTTTTGTTTGGAAGCGTATGTAACAGGGACGGACTCAGGTTATTTTACCCCAAAATGTTTGTGTGATTCTATTTTTGAAATTCAATTTTATAATTTGAAAATTTAGGGTTTTCTACATAAAAAAGGTACTCTTATTGGATATCGATAAATTGTGCCAATTTTGAATAAAATCAAACTAAAAAATTTGTCACATGATAGGAAATGTACTGCGAATGTAAATAATTAGCCATGGCAACGAAAAAACTAATTTAATAATAGGTAAATATTACATAAATACATATTTCTATTGCAACATAGACAAAAACAAAAGAAATAAATTTTTTCTACGAACGAAATTGAAATTTGTTTAAAAAAGAAGACATACAGTTGGATATACTTCAACTAGCTTTACAATAAGTGTTCAAATAAATTCCTATTTTGTTGGATAAAGACGAACTAATGATTGCGTAGCCCGAAAAGTGGAAAACCTTTTTCTTCTTATTTCATTTGCAGCCTGGTGGATTCTTTCAAGTAAATCTTCTCACATCCAATGGTATTATATCCATGAGCTCATTCTGAAGAAAGTTCAGATACACCTCTGAATTAAGGCGATTGGGAAGTACAATAGGCCCAATTACTTGATCCCCAATTACTCCTGCCCATAAGTTCAATGAAAATCTATGTTGGAAATTTGTACGGCGAACAACTTTTGGATTTTCATCTGACCAGTGATGCATGTTATGGCAATTAAAAGCACCATTCCTAGTAAATATTGACTCATCCGACCATAATATTCTAGGAATAGTGTTTTCATTTGCTAATAACCACTGGCAAAACTCGATTCGTGGTAAAAAATCTGCCTCCGTTAAATGCTGCACCCGTTTAAAATGATAAGGATGTAATTGTTGCATTCTTGTCATTCTTTCTATCTAAAATTATTATTTTTAGGATAACTTTCAAATAGGTATTCATAAATTTTTCTTACTATTGAGGTATATCCATAATTTCTGAAACATTTCGTATGCTTATTTGCGGATTATTTTCAAACATATTTAAAGCAATATCAATACGATGATTTCCCAGTGGCCTTCCTGAGCCCTGCATGCGCTGAAAACTTCCATGGTTTGACAAATTCCGGTGAATATCAGTAAGGTACTATGCGATTGGGAAATCTTTGATATTCTCTTACGGCTGCCAATGAACTGCCATTGCAAAACCCGTACACAAAATGCATGTCAGTCAGTTCTCTGTCTGTAAATCTTGGCATTTTATATCGATTTCATAAACATTTTGATTTTAATCTAGTAATTTTAAACTGCTAACAATGTCAGCTTAACGTCAAAATAAGTCATAACAAATCAAAACAACTTTTATTTGCAGTCATGGCTAACTATGTATAATCAACAATTCAGTTAAATTCGCAGTACATTTCCTATCATGTGACAAATTTTTTAGTTTGTTTTTATTCAAAATGGCACAATTTGAATATTCAATAAGAATACCTTTTTTATGTAGAAAACCCTAAATTTTCAAATTCTAAGATTGAATTTCAAAAATAGAATCACACAAAAATTTTGGGGCTAAAATAACCTTCCAAACAAAACTGTCTAAAATTGTTAATATTTTTAAATCCAGCATAAAAAACTAGGCCAGAATACCAAATTTTATGTCTTTATCTCAACACGTTTCGGAGATATTTTAAGGAAAAACCATCTTCAGGGGAGCCCCTTTAAAAGACCGTAGCGCCCTTAGGGATCGTTTGTCGACCTATGTTTATATAAACTTTTCTTCCTATTTTAAGCTCTAGAAACCGCTGGTAGAATATTGCACACTTTTTTCGGGACACCCTGTATATTCAGGGTGATTATTTAGTGTGAGCTACGTCAATAACGCCTTTATTACGCATGTATCGAAAAAATTTAATCACCAAAATTCTAGCCGGCTCCTTACCTGGAAAATATTTGTATTCCTACAGAGTGATACATAACTACATGTTGACCCAAACATACATTTTTTAGATGGTGTCACGATTATGACTAGGGGATAGTTTTGCTCCTAGCAGACCACTGTTGTTTGGCGCCACAAAGGGCAGTTAAAGGAATGTGAGTCGCAAGTACTCACAAAGAAACTCTATTTAATATCGACATATGAAGTATGAAAAGGCTTACAGGGTGGTCATTTGTGACAATGGGAAAGCCTAGCTGTTTTGCAGATTCGTAAACGCCCTTTCAGACAAAGCAAATTGATGTAAAATACCATAGGGTTTTATTTCTTAATTGTTAATAAATTGTCTATCGAAAAGAACACACACAGCTTTGACAACTAGCACCTGCGCAACTGTAGCTAGATTACTGAATTTTTCGTCAGAAGAATTTAATGATCTCAACTTCTCTTTCTATCTACTTACTGTTGCAGTTTTTTCTTTTTTTTTGATAGACTATACAGGGTATACTAACTATTTACACTTTTTGTAGTTGTCCTAACGCAATATTGCTTTATTCACACCTTTATAATACCCTTGGAAAGCCAGAACAGTAGATGTCTTATGGGGATTCGGTCTCAAAACTTCCAAAATCCGCCACCAGAGGCGCTGGCGTCGCGCGCCATTGACAGGTTGTTGGACGGAATCTGTATTCATGAGTTGGGGATTCCGCCGCTAGATGGCGCTGTCAAACCAAACGGAATCTGTGTGTCATTGGACACCTGTCATGCGTCATTGGGCATCTCACGCATAGATGGCGTTACACGTCATCTGTCATACGTCATTGGACACCTGTCATTGATGGGTTGAGCATCTCGCGCATAAATGGCGTAGATTTGTTTGGCGGTGTACAAACCTAACGGAATCTATGCGTCATTGGACAGCTGCCATTGATGGGTTGGGCATCTCGCGCATAGATGGCGCCGATGTCGCACCTGTCTGGTGTTGGCGTGGATTACGGGGGGCAACGTGTATACAGGGGTGCATCGAAAAATAGCGGATCGATGGACCGACGGTATATCGTTAAATCGTATATAGCAAGGCGTGACCTAAATAGCGTGGTGGGCTCCTCTGGTCGGTCGGTCGGTCGGTCAGAATGTCTCATAACCTGTATACGATGTACTGTTATTATTATACAGGATGATACCGTTCAAAATGAAAATAGTATAGACATTCTGACAATTATTTCGCAAACCAGAGGTATTTTCAATAAAACTACAATAATACGTTTAATATTTTATTGAAAATAGAAAAAACTACATAGGTAATATGATATTTGAAAACCAGTGGCGTAGACGTTCAACATTTCTCTGGGTACAGGAAAATTGTCCGTTGGTGTGGCATGGATTGGAATCAGCAACAAAGTTTCCAGTAGCACACGGTGTACCATCATACTTGCAAACATCAATAATGTTGGGAAAAACACCAAAAATGTGACATTTCTTGAGTAAAAAGTTTGCTTTCTGTTCTCCACGAACGTAGACATAGTCAGCCGCATATATCATCTTATTTTTAATTATTTCATTTAACTTGGAATATTTAACGTCGCCGGAAGAATATTTAAGCCCATGGAAATTCTTCTCCAAGTAAGCGACAGTTTTCTTGTCTTTAGTATTTAATGTAGAAAAAGGTTGCGGAGGTGTAAAGATGTAATGACTTTTCTTGAAACCAATTTCGATACATAGTTCTTTAGGTACGAATAATCCGTCAACTGTAAAGCCTTGAATGTCAACAAACGCGATCCTCATGATGTCTGATGCGGAACTGAGAGTCCTTCGTTGCTTACGAGATGGTTTTAATAACTTCGGTGAGGGGGAAGTACTCGATTAAGCAGTCATGTATAATGATGCAGTAGGCCTTGGTGTTGGTTGGAAAGCCAGTATCGGCTTCGATATCCAATCTAACATCAACAGTTGATGATTTCATGGTTTCCTCTTGTTTGGAACAGTCAATAACAAACAAAGCGCGATTTTTAAAAGCGGTATAATCTAAAAGACATCTCTTCAGAGGAGAAGAAGAAGTTGTATAGCTGGTTTGAAAGTCGCTATAGTTGAAATGAGCTTCAGTAAAGTGATTGTTTGCAAAGTCCAATTGCATACGTTCGTTGGGATAGTATTCACCATTTAAAGATACTCGAATACTAGCAGCATTCACGTGATCAAACAGGGTAGGGTCTGAGGTTGCGACGTCACGTTTACCGGTTTGGAAACATACTATAATGAAACGTGGTCTTTCGATTGCGGTGCTAGTTTTAACTGACCATATTTCTCTTCTCGCATCTGCGGTAATTGCAGGCAGTTCATTCAGATCCCATTTTCTAAACGGTATAAGTATCGGCTTATCAGTTTGAATAGCTTTCAAAAGTTGTTCTTTCACATCATCACTCGGGTAAATATGTTTGATTTTCAGTTCCATGCTTTCAATAGTTATTTTCGCTGTCGTCGTCGTTCCAGTTTTTTCCTTGATAATGATACAATCGTTATCGTTTCTAGCTCTCACAAATCTGAGAGTTTGTCTGCCACACGTAATCATAGGATAATCATTGAAAATGTTGAAAATATGTTTAAGCGGCATTAGCAAGCTAAAAGACTTGTTATGTGTTGACGCCATTATAGGTGTTGAAGGATAGTTCCATCCAGCTATAGCCATATGATTTGAGTCTTCCTCACTGTAACATACGTAAGCTCGGACAGTACTTACAATACCAGGATCACGTACTGTTTCAACTTCTCTAGCGGATTCACTGTAAGTGCAAGAGTCAAATAGGAAGGCACCAAAGTTTGGAGCTAAAGATACATCTCCTGCTCCTCCTCCTCCAGTTATTTCAACTTTTCCTTTGATAGATAGAAGGGAAGCGTTCATTGCAAAGAACGAATCTACTTGATTGATGCTAAATTCCACAACATCATTACAATTAAATGACTTGATGAACGGCGTATAAGATCTATACTCAGCCTTGCGAATAGATTCATCGAATGCTGGAGATCGATATAGATCAAACATCGGAGAAGTATGTGATGCTGCTGCTGCTGCCTCCTCAGTTTTTCTCTTTTTGTACATGATTCTTGTTGTTGTTGACATGATATCCAAGTGAGCGTAGAAACAGGATATTTGATGTAGTTAGTAGTAGATGTCGTCGCTTAGGTGCTTGGGGTAATACTGAAGTTGCCTTGGAAGCACCACTATGTCTTATAATCACTAATCCCATCTGCGCTTCGCTCTCAACTCCAACACAAGAGTACTAGTTTCACCTTGAAAGTTTACAGGACGACCGTCTTGATCTAAAGCCAACACTGTGATGTTGGTTATTTCTTGTTTCGGTATAACAGGTAGATATAGTAAATTTACAGGTGTTTCGACTATAGCGTATCCAGGATCGGCTGTCACAGCAAATTCGTAGATCGTGTGTGCAGGCGTGTCTCCGTCAAAGGCTCCCGACGTAATGTTAGCATCAAAGTGTATGGTTGATACTTTTATTATGTTTACAGGTAAATCAGAAGAATGCTTTTGACCAGGATTAAGAACTTTTTTCGAGAATCCCAATAGATGTCCAAGATTATTCGGTTCTGTAAAAACTATTTTATAATACTTGCTAAAGATTTCACATTGCAGTGTATTATTGTTAGGTTTTAGAGAAAAATAATCATCCGGAGGAGCAACTTCATTTTCAAGATTCATTTGCGTTCGTATAAATGTTTCTATGTCGGTAATTTCATAACAACCTGTCGGAAACTCGATGACTTTTAATTGACCACCACCACCACCTATCCGGTCGATATAATAAAATTTATCTCCTTTTTCAATATTCGGTATGGAATTGTATGAAGTAAAAGACCTAAGCGCCAATTCATAATCTTTTTTCGGATCCAACACTATCGGTGTTGAAGGACGAAATGAAAATATATGAGTAGTGCTATTGACTCTCAACAACTGCGACATGATGAATGAAAAAATATAGCTGTGTACTAAGCATTTATTCAAGTTTTTTTTTTTTGTTTATTTTCGAATGGATAATTTACAGAAATAACAATTTGCTTGAGCAGTAGCCGGTCCATCCCAATGTGTTGTCCAATCAGGTCTGTTGTAGTGAACATAGCATGGAAGTCGTATTTGAAGATCAAAATTGGATGTGTATTCT